GTTTTGATATTAATTATATAAAATCAACTTAATTTATTTTTTTTGAACAATAAAATCAACTTTATATTGTCTAAGTTATTCGCGTGTGTTTAGAAGACCATTGTATGCACTATGGCGGAAGTAGATTGTGTTAGATAAAAAAGTGTTTTTTTTTTTGTTACTTAAAACTTAGATAATTTATTTTTTCAGTGAATTATGATGTTAATAAGCATATCCTTGAATTCAAAATTTTATAACATAACTTCTATATTAGGGTCCAAATTAATAGTTCACCCTTAGGCCACTAAAATCTCATAAACGGGGTTGACCTACACAATGGATGGTTGGAACTTGTAAAAGATGCAGATCTTGAATGCTTTGATTAAAAGTCCCCTTTCCGTCAATATTTCTTGCTAATATTCAAGCGTAGCGTACGTGTTAATGATATATCTAATGCATGCGTTATCTACATATTTTGGGTAATCCTAGTACTATATATATCAGATTTGCATTATTTTCTCATTATATGTTGCTATTCCAAGGGTAACATAAAGGATTAGTGTTATATGGATCAACACCTTTATTATTGTTTCAACTTGGTGTTTATAAATGTACACAACTATATAAAACTATAACATATACTAGAAACCATTTAGGCATTAACCTTTGGTTCGATGTATATTGCAGGCCGATGAGCCCAAACCGAAGGCATATAAAATAGACGACTTTAATGAGATAGAGGAAGCCTATAGAAGTGAGTATGATCCTATTCTAGCATCACCCCTAGTTCAAGTTTTTTCTGTCTCCATCGACACAAACTTTGATGATGAGAGACCATGTAAACTCTATGGTTCGATTCGAGCCACTGAAGGAGAAGGTACTGGCTTTAGTCTCTATGATCGAGACCATGACAGCCCGGAAACAATCTTGAAACATGGCTACTTGTCCCTAATTGGGCCACAATCCAATAATGATTTCCCATGCTAACTAGGCACCACTAGCACAAAATTGGATCTGTATCTAAAAGATAAGACTCAAAACATTGAATTCATCAAAGCACAACTTGATTTGGATTCTAACAATGAAGAGGCCTACGATAAACTTCAAAAAGTTGTAGTCCGAGGTCTACATGGCTTTGCTTCCGTGTACTATGCTACATTTCGGTTTGCAGCTTTTGCTTTTGTTGAGGTTGCAATCTTCGCCAAGTATGATGAGAGTCGCTCATTTTGTGATGTTTATGGAAGCATTGTTGCCGGGTATGCCAACAGCAAAAGCTACCACTGCGGCGAAGATGATGATATGGAGAGTACCCTATTTAACAAGTCATCTGATCAATTTGTGAGAACCCCTATTTCTACACCACTTAGTCTCTCGAGATATGTCGTGGCAGTGCCGGTGCATTCCACTCTTAAGATTCAAGCACACTTGTGGGATTTGCAAGATGGTCCGTTTTCTAGCGGCTTTGTAGAATTTTTAGCAGCTCCTTACAGTGCCTCTAACAAGTTGATTTTTGGAGAAGGTGGTTCTGTTGTTGTGGCGGTCACATGGGACAATGCTTTTGAGCGTGTTTATGATGCGGAAGATTTGACCGACTATGCGGATGAGGAGATTGATGATGAGACCAAGGATAGAGATAATGCACATATGAACTCTTTAGAGATAATGCGGAAGATCTGTGTATTTGACGCAGACGCGAGTGATCCCGAATTTTGTTCAGATGGTAAGCGCATGCTATCTTTAGGAGGTGGGTGGACTATCTATTTTTCCATGCATTTTAGCATTAGATTATATCTTAAGGATCCGATTAAGGATCTTGAAATCAGCAACGGGTGGATCCCCATGTTCAGTGATTGAAGGAGCGCATGGATATGCAGCGGTGCACTACATTATCTTTAGCTATGCATGTACGGCTTTCATATCCATGACCATCTTCATTGATGATCCTTTTCGGTCATCTGCCAATTATATCTATTGGTGTGTTTTTGCTCGGTATGGCAGCCACGATTATTCGAGTGTCTATGACAAGAAATATTATCAAACCAGTCTCTTTGACGAACCATAAGCTGACCCAGTCGAGCTAACCAACAGTCGTCGTCGTCGTATAAACTTCCTTTGTCAAAATCAGCTGTATCGGTGCCTGTAGACGACTCCCTAATAGTAGAAGCAAATTTGTGGGCAACAAATCCAAATCAAGAAGAAGTTGCTGCTGTTAGTGGGACCGTAGAGTTTGAAGTTGGTAATAAGTACAAGTCTTGCATTATCCATAAAGAAATTCACGGACAACGCTACCGCATTCAGGTATCGATTGAATTTGATGGCTAGCTTCTGGTTTGCCATATAATCTCGATGAAACTTGTTCACTTAGCTTGTGGTTTGCCGTGATAGATAGATAAGTCGATATAATAATATGCATATTCTATGTTTTTTTTTTTTGGTTGAGATTTGTGGTAAATCCTTTATTGTTTTCTCTAACTGGCTATTATTCCATTCGATCCTTTAAATTAGTTTGGTTTCATTTGAAATCAAGGAAGAGATTAAAAAATTAAAGTACTCGAAAATATCAACAAAGAGTACATTTAAAGAAAGAAAAATTCTCTTTCGATGAGTGGAGCTGCACTTGGTAAGGAGAATTGAGTGTTCAATTCCCCACAACAACAATTGGGAGGGGACTGAAATCTTTCTGCCCAAACGGTGAACCGGTGAGATACACCAAAAAAAAAAAATGTCAGAAATAAGCTAACTTTTACGCGATCTATTAAAATAAATTAACTTTTTTATTGCCCTAAATTAAGTTCACTTTTTAGTCACTTAAGCTTTAGATAGGTCAGCTTGATAAGTGATCTATTAGGCTCTGTTCACTTCACCTTAAAAAAATAATATTCAGTAAAATTAATTTCAGTTCAGTAAAAATAATTTCAGTTTAGTAAAAATCAATAACTTCAAAGAAGAAATATAATAGAAATTCAGTATAAATAATTTCAGTTCAGCAAAAATAATTTTAATTCAGCAAAATTAATTTCAGTTTAGCAAACATAATTTCAGTTCACCAAAAATCTAATATATTTATATAAAGGAGAGTATTTTTCCCGAGCTTTTAGAGAGCCACGTAGGATTTTGTTATTTTTGCGCTATATAGGATTGCAATTTAAAATGTGCCACATAGGATAATGATTATTAAAAAAAATAACATAATAAAATTTTGATTATTATTTATAAAGTACGTCACGTAGGAGGCCAATTGACCAGATTGGTAAATAAAAAAGACCCCTATCGACAATTTGGTAAAAAAAATAACTCCGACGACAATATGGTAAAATAAGTTAACTCAAAGCGACAATTTGGTAAAAAAATAATCTCAGGCGACATATAGACCAATATATCTATTTATTTTTTCCGACAAAGTCTTCAAATTTCCTAAATCAATTCGTTATTGTATTTTTTTAAATTATTTTTCCCATTTAAAAATTTAAATTAATATGTCATCTCCTTTTATTATGCTAAATCCCAATATCAAATTTATTTCTAAATCTTTTTTTAAAAAAAATTCGATAAAAGGAGGTAGGAAAATTACGTGAAAATCAATATATAAACAATATTTTTTCTTCAAATTGTTAATTCAGACAAAAAGGTTGGAAAATTTGGTAAGAAAACCATAAAAACAAACTAAATTAAGCATTTGCGAGTAGTTTGTCGGAATTTTTTGTATATTTTGGGTTAATTGTCGCATGAAAAGATTTTTTTAACCAAATTGTCGCTTAAGGGTAGCTTTTTTACCAAATTGTCGCCATAGCTATTTTATTTACCAGATTGTCGCTAAGAGCCTTTTTTTTATTTACCAATTTGGTCAATTGGCCAACGTAGGAGTATGTTTATCAAATAAGAAAAAAAAACTTCATAAAATTAATCCTTTTAAAAAAAACTAATCCTTATCACCCCCTTTAGTGCCTTCCAACCTACATACTGATCCAAAAAACTCCAAAAATCTCATAGAGATATAATAGGAATTGTAAACTTGATCCTTTAATAATTTTTGTCATCTTAAGTTCATGTAAACTTGATTTTATTGTAATTGTAATAGTAGTTTTGAGATTTTATTATATAAATAAAATTCTTATATTTGTTGAATTTTACAAAAGAATTACGAAAGATGATGTTTTTATAAAATTTTATCACATATATATAAATAATATATATTATCTTTGCTATTTTATATGAATCATACATATGATAAAAGATAATTAAGAGATAATTAGTGCAAAATACAAACAATTAGATTTATCAACATATTCTTTCTATATCTACGTGATAAGATTTATTAATCACAATTTTTATAATCACATTGTTGCATGGATAAATTTTTGGACTGTTAGGAATTTTAAAAATTACAATTGTTAAAATGATAAAATTTAAGTTGGAAAAAAGATATGAATTGATTTAATTTGCTTATGATTTGTTATTATTATAAATAGGCATTAATTTAATTCATGCACCACCAAAGAATCACACAATACTTCATACAAAACAATTTGGAATTTCATATTGTGATTTTAAAAAATATGTCGGTTTAATTCCTTTAACTAACTCAATTTTTTTTCAAACTGTAGTTACGGGTAATATTAATTTTAACAATTTTCTTTTCATTGCATTGTTTTCTTAGGTCTATTTCGTGGATTCGAGAAATTAATTCTTCCAAAAATTATTGGAAAATTAAAGTACGTGTGTGAAGGATTTTGATGTTTTGAGCTTTCGGAAACATAATAGTTTGATTAGTTTGGACATGGTTTCAATGAACGAAGAGGTATGCCTTTAATTTTTTTTTTTTATTTGATCATACTTATCATTTTAAATTCATTGAATAATATATATATATATATATATATATATATATATATATATATACATACATATGTATACATATATATATATATACACACACATATATATATATATATGTATATACATACATATATATACACACTAGTAGAAAATCATAAATTAGCACCGAGAAATTGGCAACGGTTATTATAAACCGGTGCCCTAAAATACAAATGGCATCGGTTAACCGGTGCCCCTTGATTTTTTTTTTTATTCTAATACAAAGAGCATTGGTTAACCGGTGCTTATGTTTACTTTTATTTTCCTATAAGGCGTCCTCTCTCTCCTCACCCCACTCTTGCATCCTCTCTCTCTACTCAAACCCTCCTTTCTCTCTCTTCAATCTCTTGCCTCCTCGTGCTCTTTGTCATTCTTTACTCCACCGCCACCCCAATCACCGCCACCCCACTATCTCTTTCATTCTTCTCTCTACCTCTTTCATTTCCAGATCTTTCTTTCTCTATCTTCCTTCGTAGTAGTGGGGAATTGAGGGTGACGGCGGTGGTGAATGTTGTCGCGACCATCGTAATTGGCGGTGGTTGTGTCTTCCCTTTGCAGCTGTAGTGGATTTCTTCACGAAGGTATGTTGCTCTTCGATTTGAAATCTAGGGTTTCTTATTTTTTATCAATTTAAGGGTCAATTATTGCCTTTATACAAAATTGAATCCTATAGTATGTTAATTAAGCGAGATATTCGACAATTATTTACATGCATGTGTTGGTGAGTTTCCTTTTCCCTTCTATTTTAATCGTGGTGCTGCGAGGTTAGTTGTTGCGCGTGTGGTGCTGTGCGTGTATTGTTGCGTGTGTGGTGCGCTGCTATTGCGTGTTGTGTGGTGCTCTGTTGTGGGGTGTTGTTGTTGTTGTTGTTGAGTGTGGTTGTTGTATGCTAGGTTGTTCTAGCGTAGTGTTGCGGTGCTCTGTGTGCAAGGGTGCTGCTATTTGTTCGTGTGTTGCGTGCGTTAGTGATTTTTTGAAATTCGTTGGACATACGGTATACATCTGGGAACATAGTTATCTTAATGATTTGAATATATGTCCTATTCTTTCATTTGCTTTCTTGAAGACCATATAATTAAGATTGTTGCTCGAGTAAGCTTAAGGCCAATTTGAATTTCTTTTTTGTTTCTTGAGTAATTGTGGGTGCACTGGTGATGTGATGCAATGGGGGGTGGTAGTGCTGGCTGGGCAGGGGACGGTGGTAGTGGACCGATAGGCAGTACTGGTGGTGGTCTTGTTTGAGTGGCAAAGTACACATTATTTCAAATCTAATGACATTCCAATCTAAGAATTTGTGTAAAAATGAGATCAGAGTTCAATCAAATTAGATGAATATAGCACAGTATACACAGGCATGCATATAGCACATATTAATGTTTAATATAATACGGCTTTAAATCTGGTTTTGTTGATATAATGCTATTGTCATTTATGATATATTGGGCTATCTTTATTACGGGTTGCCTTAGTCTTGCTTGAATGAAGGTTGTATTGTTGACATGTTGAGTGCTCTGGTTCGTTTAATGTTGATTTCAAGATTTTAGTTTTTCCACACATTTGAGAAAACGTCTGTCTTTGTAACATGTCATAGAATTTTATGTGAGGATCTTTCTTAGTCTATGTTCCAGGGATGTAGTTAGCTGATTTTTATTTTCTTACAATTTTTGGGAATATGATGTTTTTCTGCTCGTGTTTTTGAATTTACTGCAGGATTTATGATTTATTTTACTCTTGCTTTGTAGATTGAGAAAAACAGAACTTGTTGAACAAATCATAAAAAGAAGAAAATATGACTTCACATTTTTGGCAGGTTTGTTTTCTATGACAAATGTTAATCCTACTTTCTCATTTTAGTTATAATTGATATATATATGTTGAGTAGACTTATTTTCTTTCCTTTTTCTGTTTGTAGCGCGGTAGTGACAGTGATAGTGATAGTGACTCCGAGGATGAGATAAATAGTGGTTTTGATGGTGTTAAGGTTATAAAAAATCCAAGCATATATCTAGAGCCCACTCTTAGAGATGACACAAAGTCAACTCCTTGCGACAATGATGAGGCAGATGATGAAAAGCGAGTTCTCATTCCTGCTAAGAATAAGCGTTTCTAGGAGATGTCTGCTACTGTTGAGCAAATAAACACTCCTCCTCGATTTGCCTGTTTCTCTCTCCTCTTATCTTACATTTCTATCGATCGACATATTTTTGTTTGATAATTTAGGGTTTTAGTTACATATAGATCTTGAATTTTGTGAGTTTGATTGTTTATTTCGATTTATTAATTGCATTTTTGGGTGATTTTGGAATTATATGATTTCAGAATTAGGTTTTGGGCTGAATAATGATATGTTTCTGTATAATTAAAATTTCAATTTGATGAGTTAATTAGCCTCCCTAATGTTTACTTTGCTGATTTTTTGCATTTTATAGTTCAACTTCTTCCCAATTTTAATTAGTTTTGGTTGTGTTAGCTTTAATAGCATATTCATAACTAATTTCTTCTTTGGTTCCTCTTCTATGGATGAAATTGGCTGTTGTATTGTGAATGAAATAATTATGGCTATAGTTTGAGAATTAGTAGAACGATTGGTATCATGTCTTCAGTTTGCTTCTACACTTGGAATCATGTTTCTTGATGATTCGATGTGATGTCTTATATGTGTTATTAAGGCTTTAACAACTGCTGTGTGGCTAATTATGCATTTACATTGAAATAACAAAATTCAGGCTGCATTGAGGATGCTCTATGGCCTACAATGGACGCTGCATTTCTGTTCTGTGCTACTGCTGTTTAGCAATTGTGATGCTGCTGTTCTGCTACTAGGCTGCTGCTGCTCCGCTAGTGATTGTAAGAAGTTGTTGCTGCTCTTGTTATAGTGAATATATCCAATGTTTTTTTTTCTATTTTTTTTCAAGTGTAAAATTAAAGGTTGTCAATGAAATTGTCAGTTTTAAGTATATTATGTATATATATAACAGTCTGCTGACAATTTCAGGTGAAAAAAGCAAAAAAAAAAAAAAAAAAAAAATTGTTTTTTTGGGCATTAAAGGCACCGGTTAACCGGTGCCAAAGTAGTGAGTTTTTTTTTTTTTTTTTTTTAAAAGTGGGTACCGATTATTAGCACCGTTTAACCGGTGCTAATAACAAGTAATGCCACCGGTTCAAAACTGGTGCTAATGATTCTATTTTTTGGTATCCCTCAAATCTAGACCAGTTCAAAACCGGTGCTATAGGGGGGTTTTGAACCGGTGCTATTTTATATTTTTCTACTAGTGATATATAATATATAATTAGTTTCTTTTCATAGTCGAGACCTTAGCTTCATGGTTTCACTCCTTTGAAACCCACCAACCTTGTACCCAATTGAAACCCTACCAACCCAGATCCCAAGAAATAGGGGGCAGAATGAGGGGTCGGAATTAGGACGGGGGATGGGTAAGAGGCTGGCATCGAGACAAAAAGTGGTTTTCAAGGGTGGAGGGAAGGTTGTTTTGCGTTTTCGTGGGGGTTGGTGGTTCAGCAGTTCGTGGAAGGGGGTAGGGGAGGCGCCGCGCTGGGGGGAGGGGCCGGAAACGTGTCAGGGGAAGTGGAGGGAGATTGGGAACGGGGAAGGGATTTAACGAGGCTGGTTGGTGAAACTGGGGGAGAAGTGGGGGAGAAGTGTTGGGCGTAGCGCGGCGTTAGCATCGGCGTCAGAATTGGCGCCGACTCCGGGTGGTCGGAGCTGCGGGGCAGGGAAGTCAGGCGGTGAAAGGGTGGCTTGGCAGCTGATGGGGTGGCTTTCAAATAATTAATTGTTTTTTTTTTCTTTAAAAAATTTAACTTTTTATTTTATATTTATTTTTTGGACCAATCACAAGCCGCCACGTGTTAGGTAACTTGTTATAACAAGTTACATGACCGGTTGGGACCATTTTGAGCGGATTGGATATAAACGTCGGATTATTTAAAAATAACCCAAAGGTAGGATTATTTTTAGCGGACGTCCCAAAGGTAGGATTATTCCGGGCAATTTTTTCCATCTTTTTTTCATTATAATCTCATATACGTGAATCGCTAAACATCGCCCGCAAATTACCATATAAAGCCCACAAATATGACTTGGTGTGACCATTATGCCCATTTTCTAAAATTGAAATAATCTCGGTTTAAAAAATGTGGATTCGTACTGGCTCGCTGGGGGAGACCGGAGGGCAGGCCGGAGATGCGGGGGACGCCGGAGGTACGTCGTCGTCGACGGAAAACGAGGTAAGTCACCGTTAAAATTCACGGTTTACCGTCGGAGTGGCTCTGGCGCCTAGGATGGACGCCCAAACCGTAGCCTGGACGTCCAAGCCAGACGCCAGAACCACCGGAGTGGCGTCCAGCCCAGACCACCAGAGTGGCGTCCAGCCCAGACGCCCAGACCACCAGACTGGCGTCCTGGCCAGGCGCCACTCTACTGGCTGAGGCGGCCCTGCCAGGCGCCAGTCCAGTGGTTGTGGCAGCCCTGGCAAACGCCACCCTTATAAATTAATTTTTTTTTTCTTTTTTGATTTTGTTGTTTTTTATTTATTTATTTTTTTTAAAAAAAAATCGAAAATGATTTTTTAAAAAAATTCGAAATGGGTTTTTTTAAAATTAATTTTGAAAATTCGAAATAGGTTTTTTTAAAATTAAGTTTGAAAATTCGAAATGGTATATTTTTAAATTTAGTTTGAAAATTCGAATTGGGTTTTTATAAAAATTAAGTTTGATTATACATAATTATGCTTTTTTTTGTGTTAATTCTGTCTAAATATAGAAATTAAATGTATTATCCGTTAAATGTATTTATTGTAATATATAATTGATGCAGGATTATGGTGGAGACGGAAATGATTACAGTGGGATATTTGGACATGATGGTCCATTCGAAGAAGCTCAACAGGCGATTGATTGGGCAAAACAGGTTGCAATTGCAGCTGGATTTTGCTTGGTAGTAGTAACTCATAAATCTCAACGGGATGGTAGAATGGATCGCATTTTGAGATGTGACCGTTATCGCAAAAGAGAAGACAGAGATTTTCGTACAACCACTCGGTTTGATACAAAGCGGAAAGGTTGTGGGTGTGAGTTCAGAGTAAAGGTTCGACAACTACGGAGACGTGACGGTTGGGAAGTGATTGGTTACTCTAAATGGGGGTATCACAACCATGAGATGATAGTATATGAAGAGGGTCATCGACAGCTGAGCGGCTTAAGTCCTGCTGCGAAAGTAGATGTGAAAGAAATGAGTGATGCTCAAGTCAAGCCTGCTAAAATATTAGCATCTGTGTTAGAGAAATTTCCAGAAGACCATCCAAACCGAAGACACATCTACAACGTCAGACAACAACTCAGGTTTGAACGGTCAGAGGGAAGGAACCCTATACAGCAGCTGCTACACCAGGCACAATCACGTGGTTACCTGTTCTGGTTTGATTCTGATGAAGATACAGCGGAGGTGACTCATCTTTTCCTTGTGCATCCTGATTGTGCTGATATGATCAAGTCTTGGCCATTTGTGATTTTGATCGACTCAACGTACAAGACAAACAAGTACAAGTTCCCACTGGTTGAGATCATGGGGATGACTCCAACGAACCAGAACTTTCTGATTGGTCATGCAATCATCAAGGATGAGACTGTCACCACACCGGTCAGAGAGCTAGCTATTGCGTTTCTTGGGTCGTCATACAGACATTTCATCCGACTAGACATGTCATCCGATTTTCCAGTGCCACCGATTATACCTCGGTGGTACAACATTCGCACAGCGAGCGTAGAGGGTTGGGATGCGCTATATCATGACCGGATCCACGAATGGAACACCCTAGCTGCATTTTAGTTTTTCATGTTTACATTCTTCCTATGTAATCTTATTTGTACGTTGCTCTTTTAATGAGAACATTAATCTTTTATATTGTATTGCTTACTGCATTATATATGTTGCATGGGTAAGTTGCGCGGATCCACGAACGGTTATATCAAAATTTAAAAACAGCATTGATAATATGTTTAAGTTGGAAGCTAAAAGAACAATCTAAAATGTTACAAACTTACAACATAATGTCCAATTTAATAAATTAAAACGATAATATTTAAAGTGCTCTATAAATAAAATGACAAAACCATCAGTAATCCCTCCTCGACGACGACTCTCACTGCGCAAGGGTCTGTTCCAGACTATCAACAACAACTCTCCCTGTTGCACTCATGCTGTCCTTCTCAAGAGAGAGTTTCTGAACGTCCTGCATTATCTTTCCCATCCACTACATACAACAAAAAACAAAAGATGAAATACAATAACAACATATAAAACTTAATTAAAAGACAACGATAAATATAATATGAGACATACCGCTTCCATGGCAGTAGGCGGTGGCACATAATCATCATCGCTGTGGTCGAGATCTGCAAATACGTCAAGGATATTTTTCCTCTCTACTTTATGTAATAGTAGTTTTGAGATTTTATTATATAAATTAAATTCTTATATTTGTTGAATTTTACAAAAAAATTACCAAAGATAATGTTTTTATAAAATTTATTACATATATATAAATAATATATATTATCTTTACTATTTTATATGAATCATACATATGATAAAAGATAATCAAGAGATAATTAGTGCAAAATACAAACAATTAAATTTATCAACATATTCTTTCTATATCTACGTGTTATAGGATTTATTAATCAAAAGTTTTATAATCACATTGTTGCATGGATAATTTTTGGACTGTTAGGAATTTTTAAAAATTACAATTTGAAAACGATAAAATTTAAGTTGGGAAAAAGATATGAATTGATTTAATTTGCTTATGATTTGTTATTATTATAAATAGGCATTAATTTAATTTATGCACCACCAAAGAATCACACAATATTTCATACAAAACAATTTGGAATTTCATATTGTGGTTTTAAAAAAATGTCGGTTTAATTCCTTAAACTAACTCAATTTTTTTTCAAACTGTAGTTACGGGTAATATTATTTTTAACTGTTTTCTTTTCATTGCATTGTTTTCTTAGGTCTATTTCGTGGATTCGAGAAATTAATTCTTCCAAAAATGATTAGAAAAATAAAGTACGTGTGTCTAGGCTTTTGATGTTTTGAACTTTCGGAAACATAATAGTTTGATTAGTTTGGACATGGTTTCAATGGACGAAGAGGTATGCCTTTAATTTTGTTTTTTTTATTTATTTGATCATACTTATCATTTTAAATTCATTGAACAATATATATAATACATAATACTTCCTCCGTTTTTTATTATCTGCAACAAGTGTACCTTTTGCGGAGGGCGAGGCAAAACTTTTAAAGCATGATTATAGAAAATTAAGGGTATATGGTTAAGTATTAGTCCATCCCAAAAAAAAAAAAAAAACAAATTCAACTAAAATTAAACTAATAACCCACCACCACCACCACCATCCAGCGGCACCGAAACCACCACCACCACCCAGCGACACCGAAACAACCCAGCTACCACAAAACCACCGCCGCAACCAACTCACCCACGAAACCACCATTACCGCACCCACGGTATCACCAACCCACCACCCATCGCACCCACGAACCTAAGAACCCACGATCTACACCCACGAACCCAAGAACACACCAACCACAATCTTTTTAAAACATGATAAATAATTTGATCGTGGGTGGCAGATTGTGGTTGGTGTGTTCTTGGGTCACCTAATACATATTTCAATGTAGGAGATAATTTGTTTAAAATAATTTCAATTTCCTGTTGTAATGTAGAAACTTCCAATATTTAAATTTCAAAAATGTTAAATATGATACCTCTCCAAAAAAAAAAAAGAAGATGACATCATCCTAGCATTTAGGCGGGCAATTTTTTTTATTAAGAGAGCGACATGTAGGCACTAGGCAGCGGTGACATCAGAATTTTCTGTTTTAGTTTTAGTTAATAGATTAATAGATTTGATTTCAAATTTGCCTCCAATTTCCATTAATAAAACAAATAAAATAGAAAATGACAAACATTAATTACAAAGTTGCAATCAAATTTCAGATTATTAGGATTACTCATTTTTAAGAGATTGATTCCAAAAAAAGACTACCAAGGTGAAACGGAAGGAGTACTTCATTTGTCAGCTGTCACACACTAGAACCCTGCTAATGCATGGAGTAATATAGAGTTAGGAGAAAAAAAAAAAAAAAAAGAGTAGAAGTGAAAGTTATGGAAGGATTATTTTTTTATTTTTTGGTTAAGAGGGGGAAATTAGTTGAAAGTTATTTATTTATTTTGTAAGAATAAAGTGCATAGATTTTGAATATTGACGATGTGAAGAGTTGTGGCCTATGTAAAAAGTTGGGGAAAAAAATTAAGCAATTCTATTTTTATGTATTTATTTAATTTTTTTTGAAATGTAGTTTTCTAAATTAATAGTACCAAGCAAATATAAAATGTATTAAAAAAAGGGTGCATGTGTTACCAAAATAAATGATAATAATACAAGTAATAATGATAAGATTGATAACGATGCTTAATTCTCCAATTCTGTAAATAAACTTATTATTATGCACTCCCAAAATCCATTGGGGAGAATTACAATTTGACCAGTCATAGCTGGGATTAAAATGGAAATAAAAGTGAAATACATGCAACAAATTAAACATGACAAATCAAGTTAAATTCGAAATCAAAGATACATAATGCTGAAATAATACTTATATCGGCAGCATATATATTACGGAGTATTATATATATATATATATGATCCCATGATGATGATTAATTATATTGAGATATTATTGAAGATTTTCGAGGTCGCAGTAGTTTGTTTCATGAGACTTCACAACGACCACCCGAAAAGGTGGCTGAACAAACCTTCTTTCCACAGCATGGAGCATCAAAAAACCCACAATCTTCCCCTAAGCTCCTGCAACCTGAGGTAGCGTCTGCAAAAATACACAGTAATTGTTTCAAAATCAATCTTTTATACACAACTGTATGTGCCATGTGGTACAGGTAAATGGTACGTACATGGTATGGTGCAACAAATTAAATGTCAACCAATTTATATATACGTAGTAAAAAAAATAAAAATAAATTAGAACTACTCCGTATGTATTATGAATGTTACATTGTACTCCGTATGTTATACGAGTATATAACTAGCTGACAAAATGCTTTAAATAACAGTTTTGAAAATTGGGCTAAATTGATATATAAATATTGGTTGTTAATCTTGTAGGTGAATTTGGTTTTTAATTTTATTATGTCTACACTAGCTATATACAGTATTAATCGATTTAATGATATGCTTGACTTATGATATGGCTAAAACGATTAATTTAAGTCTGATTGGATCAAGTAAAAAAATAGAACATGAAGAAATATCGACTGAAAAAATGTAATAATGAAACCAAAGAGAATAGAGTACCCTAAGTCCCTAAGAATAATGGGGGATTTGCTAAGGCTTACCATTTTGACATTCACCTCCAGTCAAGGAATTTGAACATATACCTCCCGCACAACACCAATTAAAAAGCCCACAACCTTCTCGAACATCAGCACATCCTAGTACTTTTCCACCCAACATCATTTGCACTGCAAATTAAAGGTTCAAAATTAAACACAAAGTATGTACCAAAATGAGAAAAAAAAAGAAAAGAAAAAAAAAGACATTAAATATTACAAACATATAATAACACCATAAATTGTCAAATTAATACTCCGTACCATTATTTTAGAAAATATACAAATTAAATAATCCGCATGCAGGATCCAGAGTAAATAGATTATTACGAAGTATAGTTATTAAATTACCTAATGCAAGAACCAGGAATACTGTTAATACATTCTTCTTGTTGGAAATAATTTGCTTGCCCTCCATTTTTGGAATAATAATACAGTAGTGATAAGAGGATTAACAAATTTCTTTGGTTGCCTTTTTGAAATAACTCTAGTGGTTTTTAATGAGGATGCCTCTTACCCTTCAATCCGAACCCTATTTATAGTACGTTTTTAGTTCATGCAGCTTCTTATTAAAAAATACTACAAAGTATTAGTATTGGTTAGACGGCAGCTTTATATATTGACATACGGATATACAGATGTGGATTTTATTCTTTATAACATTTTCAATTGGGAATTTGGTTTCAACAAGCAATTTCATTCCAAATTTTTAAATTAAAAATGCATCGATTATTATTTGATAATAACTTTACTTTTTAAATAATTGGCAAAACCTAATATTAAGGCATTGTTCAACTTATTTTTACTTATTTCAGAAAAGTAAGTTAAGTTCAGATCATATCATTGTTTTATGTGCGGTTTTTTATCGCTAAATATCTTTAATTTCATAATGAAAAAAAAATTATAAAAATAACATATTAATAAAATACACAATATTACGAATCTAACAATACCCCACTTGATATATTTTTTTTTCTTTATAGATTATCGTACACATAAGGTCAAAGTTTGGTGAAATCAGACAATAGAATCAGATCAGACCAGATCAGATCAGATAAGTAAAAATTAAGGTGAACAAAACAAGCCCTAACACCACCTATATAATAACATTTTGCACGATAATATATATTTTTAATAATTTAGTAAAATACTGCCATCAAAGTTAATATATACCTAATAGATAAAGGGTGTAGTGTGTACTTCCTCGAGTTCCTCCATTTTATATTAGTTGGTTTGTTTTTACTGTAATTTTGTGATTTATACTTCGTATTTGGGAGTAAACCTACTCGAAATTAGAGCTGGCTAAAGTTGACATGATGCGAATCGGACAAGAAAATATTGGGTTATTGTCAAGAGTTTTCGATACGTTTAATTAAACAGGTTATCATAAGACTGTCACATATACTTAAGCAGGTCGGATTAGTGTTGAGGTTCTCAACACAAAATTAACATGACTCAATCTGACTAAGAAAAACCCCTACTCCCTCCGTAAATGCATCAGTTTGACTTTTGCACTATTCACGTGTCATGTTTGACTTATTTTTTTCCTATTATAAACTAAATAAATGTTATGATATAATGTATCATTACATTCGTCACAATGTCTATTTTCATAATTTAATTTTGTTACAATTTTTACTAATTAATAGACAATTAAATATATTAATGGTCAAAGTTACGTCTTGGCAAATGTGCTGGTCAAACTGATGCATTTAAAAAAAACAGAGGGAGTAATAAATTATGGAAATTTTGATAGATTTACTGAATGTGGCTTATATTTTTTCATATAACACGACAACACAACACGAACCGGATAAAAAAAAGCTGGTTAGTGTTAAGGGTTTCTGAATTAAACGGGTCAGCACGACACGACATATTTATTAATTATATAGGTCAGGTTAGTGTTGAAGCTTTCCAACCCGTTTAATTTCGAACACGACATGACATGACACGATTGCCAACTCTATTCAAAATACTCCATATTCAAGTGAAATCTTGGTAAATTTATTTCAATGTATACGATTTCTAAATTTCTAAATTTCCAAATCATCGTGCAGGAGAGTAGTACTACCATTTAGGCGTACGTCAGAGTAGGTTTAGTTCAAATAAAGTTAGAATGATTGAGCATTAACAAATATTTATATACAATATACATATACCAATACCATAAAGTATTTATTAAGGAGCTGAAAATGTATTGATTATCTGAATGTATGATCTGTGAGATAATATATTGCTTGTCTTCCGCCAGATTTGACGGACGACAGCTATGAATGCTGATTCTGTTTAATGGCAATTATATATTGTTATGTGCTACACGCTTACACTTGTTTAATTTCGTGTTGTTGGTTGCACTCAAGTCATAATACAGACCCATAAGTGATTAATGGTGTTGGAGTGAATTTGCGTTAGAATAATATCTTACATTCTACTGTAACTTTCTATCTTGATTTGGAGACGAATATGACTTGTGCAGTTGTTCCTCACTTGAAGGTGTGAAGGACGATCGATCGACCATGGTCGATTTGATGCGATCAATTTTACTAAAGATGTCAAGTTCGATGTTCCACTTTGTGTAGAGAAATTAAATTAATGATATCATGCCATGCTCGATTTTTGAAATTAAATTATTGAAATAAATTAAATGACTTGTGTAAGTATGTAAATTTTCTTTTTTTTTTTTCTTTTTTTTTTATAATTTAAATTTATTTAATGTTTATATCTGGTGTTGGTGGTGGCGAAATGGAAGCGGCAATGAGTAAGAATCTGAATGAAATGGTGTGCTGGTGGTGGAGAAATTGAAGCAGCAAAACCAGATTGTAACATTATTAAATTTGTTGGCCTTATTGATCTTAAAACCAGATTGTAGAATAATTGAAGAGGGAAAAAAGATAGGGGTAGAAAGAGAAATTGAAAATGAAGAGCAAAACCAGCAAAGTAACGGTGTATAATTTTCCGTTTAGAAACATGGAATTTCTCCATGCTATGATAGGCTTAGTACATACTCCGTGTGTGGTTGTGTTACACTATCTGACTATCTGTTTCATAATACTCGCAACAATAGATTTGACACATGGTTTTAGGAAGAACATAGGGTGGGGGCCAAATGAGGAATTTAATCTACCCCTTCTTTAAATATGAGAACTTTAGCTACTGTTGAAAATGAATAGTGCATTGGCTGTTTTGCCCTTCCTCTTCTCTCAGTAGTGCATTGGCTGTTTTGCCCTTCCTCTTCTTTCTACATGAATACTGAAATAGCTTCTTTTCCCTCTCATTTTCTCTCCTTTCCCTCTGCTTTCCCTGTACACGTGCAAGTACAGAAGATTGAGTGTTTAGTGAGGTATAGGCTTTGTAGGGTAGGCTGTAGTACCTTTGTACTTTCTATAGCTTTTGTGGCTTCACACAAAGCAATACTCAAAGTCAGTATTTTATTTTCACTGAAATACTCAACGTTAGAACCTTTCTTTGAAGATGCATACACTGCTAGGAAGAAAGCAAGAGAAGTGTTTAGTCTGGTGATTCAATTTTCCTTTAATAAGGTGAGTGTTATAATTCTGCAATTGGTGTAGATGAACTTAGCTTTAGTGTTCTCTCGAATTTACAAGATAGCTGCCATTTACTGGGTTAGAGTTCATCTTATGTTTTGTTGCATGCATTTTTCATTTGCCCTGTATTTATAATTCTGCAGTTGGTGTGGATTAACTTTGCTTTAGTGTTCTCTCGAATTTTCTGGATTAGAGTTCATCTTATGTTTTTTTGCATGCGTTTTTCATTTGCCCTTGTTTATGTTTTGCGTGTTTGTAAATGTCATGATTTGATATGTATTGAAGGTTGTTGTTTCTTTAAAACCATGTTATCAAAATGTATTTTAGAATTGTAGGTCTAATTATTGTAGTTTGTTTTCCATCATGTATCTTTGGTTTTTTTTTCTCTTTTTTTTCCCCCTGAAGTATGTGTATTTGATTGCTACATTTGTGGGTACAAAAGCATTGAAGCTGTTTTTCTTAATTTTAAAAATTTCAGAAAAGAGACCAAGTGAAGCTGCTCGTATCATCAAGGACGTTAGAATTTCTGTAAGTCTTTTGTATTTGTTAATTCATTCTGATTATAAACAATTTTGTCTTTTATTTTAAAATTAATATATTGGTTAAACTCATTTGTTTTACTAATCTATTCATAGTCCCATTTCTCATACTTCGTGGTTAGTTATCTTTCAATATTTGTGGCTAAGTAGGATGATAACTTTGTGGTTAATTAATTTTCAATATTTGTGGCTAAGTAGGATTATAACTTCGTGGTTAATTAATTGTCAATATTTGTGGCTAAGTAGGATGATATTATGGTTTTTTGATATATACATATATCTTGTTTCATGGCATATGCACACTTTTCTCTCAAAATTTACATGTACAGCATTATGAAATTTCTTTCATACTTTTTACATTGAACCTTGTAATCACCGGTTTGTGCAAGTGTGCCAAATTGTAAGCAGTATGAAAAGTAGTAGTTCCTTTGGTTTGGTTTCAATCTTTTGACAGTTAATATTTCAATTACTTTTGGTGTAAGTGAGACAGTATACCGTTTGTTTAAAATGGTTATGTAAGCTAAGTAGTCAAAATTAATGTATATGGACTTAAGATAACACAAATACATTGACACATTGAATGCTAAGATTAGGCTTGCTATGTGTTAGTATTTAAGGTGATAACTAAGTGCCTTATGATATGTATATATGCATATGTGCTTATCATGAAGATTGTTTCTATTCATAAAATTAGCTTCCTAAATGATAGCAATGTGGCCATTTCAGGTTATGGCTTCTTTATCTCCATCTTCATCTCGTGAAAAAATTTCTATTCCTTTCCGACCACTATTGGATCAGATCACAGATTGTCTTGACTTCCCTAGGGCTACGTATTTCGTGGATAATCCAATTAAGTGTAAATCATGTGTATATATAAGAACTGAGGGTCAGCGAGGCATTTTATGGTTTAATGGAGAAGGTGCAACTACTATTGAGGACTCTCAGGAAAGTGCAGTTGAAAGAGTAGTGCATTTTTTAACTAAAAGATATGATGTGTGTATAGGTGACTTCACTATGGACAGAATGCGAATGTATGGCTTGTGTGGAAAGTTGTATAGGCTAAAACGTAACTATCTAGAATCGCGTGGTAGGACAAAGAATTGTAGTAAGAAGATTGTAGGTGATGTAATACATGTTGTGATAGATTATGTGGCCTTTCTGCCTAAGATCATCAGACACACCGGTGTTCTTATAACTGGTTTAGAAATAGTACATTCTGAAGGGCAGGGTTATGTATCTTGGCTTACAGTGACTTCTACTTATGCGAAGTGTGGGATGGAGTGTATATTCAGTGAATTGTGTTTAGATAGCAATGCATCTAGACAAATGGTTGCTAAGAAAACAATTTATTATCTTATGCAGCTATATAATTTAGATATTGTGGATGCAAATTATGGTTCTGCAATTTTTAAAGGAGTTCTATGTTCTTT